TTAGATTGGTGATATAATTTATCAATATTACGATGGCTCATTAGAAGAACAAATCCGTAGGCTTGTAAGGGTGACATTATTTCACCTTTCGGTTTTTAAAAGCAGTAATACAGTGCAGTTCTTTAAAAGTTCTGTTAAAGTGTAAACCTTTAAATAGCTCAAATTTTGTCTTTTCTGTTCAACTAGCATAGAATCTTTTCTATGTATTTGTGTGTTCTGCATTGTAATATGTAGCGTTATAAATCGATTTTGAAACAAAATTTAGTCTGCTCCGATAAGAAAGGAAGTTAATGTTGTACATCAGTTTATATTCAGACTAGATTATATCTGCTCAGTGACCCAAATTTTCTCAATCAACACACAGGGGAAAATATGTGAAACTTTATCATTTGTTTATTTTTGGCTTTTTTATTATAAATGATTCAGTTAACTCTGTAGTGACAACCTGAACATCACGGTCCCTGATAAACATTATTCTGCAGCTGATGTCCTATATAGTAAAGCCACTATATACCTCTACTGTGATTCTTTCCATAAAGAATGAAGATGTATCATTCAGTGGAGATTAGAGCCAAAGATGCCAGGTTTTGGATCTGCCCACAACAAAACATAATATTTCTAGGTGTTCAGGGGACATGGCTATGTGCTGCAATTCTATAGCATGGATGAGGATATAGCTTCCAATGCACTTTGCTTAGGTTGGGCATTGCGCTTTCTGGCTCAAAGTTTGGAGGTTTTCATATACCAGGGATTAAGACAGTTTGGGAAACTTCTCTCATAGGATATAAAAAATTGGATTATGGAACCAAATCAATTAGACTTGGCTATTAGGAGAGTGTGTGATATACTGTGTTTGGGGAACTTTCCAGATGGTAAAGTTATTTTGGTCATTTTATGATGCAAATGCAATTTTAGAGATTTTATATAGGCCCCAAACAACAACAACAACAATAGCAACAAGTTTTTCAGTTCATTTTTCTAACTTTTGTCCTTGAAGTAGAAGTGGCTATAGAACTAATTTTGAGGAGCAAAGGGGAATTAAATAATATGAGTAGGAGAATGTTGTTTTATGAACATTTCCCTAAGAGTTAAAACTGAAGTGTGCTTACTAGTGTCACGAATCACATCTGACTTTATAACGTTCTTCAGTTCTAGAGAACTTTGACTGCTATTTTTTAAAATATGCACCATAGATTAATAAGGTGAATACACTGAATATCTTTAGAAAAGAATCAGAATATGATGACCTTGTTTCTAAAACTGCAGAGTCTCTGCTGATCATTGGATGAATACCAGTATTTCATCCCACAAAAGCAGCAGCCCTAGTTGTGTTGGCAACTGTTGTCTGCCTCACCTACCTCCACGTCTGCCTTGCTTACCTGTTTTCTGGGTCAATCTTGCAGTGCTTCACCATGAGGACTTCCTCAAAAGTGAGGCACTTCCTTCCATTGCTTTCTGGAATCACGTGGGCCAGGTGGGAAGGGAGTGGGTAGTTCCCCACCCTGCAAATGGAAAGGTCTTTACTGACTTACCTAATCACAAATTTGTTTGATGAGGTTCCAGACACACCATGTTAGTTTCTCTCTGTGTAGAATAATAATAAGATATCAGGGGCGTTGTTCTTGATTAGCAGATGGAGGCCTTTAAACTGACAGTAGACAATGGGAGTTTATTTATTGTTTCTGTCATAGCAGATAATTAACTCACATTGGCTCTAATTGGTATGTCTTCTAAGTGTAATTGGCACTGGTGAATAACAAATGGATTTTCTCTTTTCCGAAGTCCATGCAGTTTTCTACCAGAGAATGTCAGCGCACATTTATGGAAAACATCCACTCTTTAGATCTGGGAGATAGATTTGATAGATATCAAGAATGCTCATTTGCAAATGCAAAATCTATTATCAAGCTTTGGATTTAAATGTAGAAGATTTGTCCACTTTTTAAAAAAAGCCTGTATATATCATCATTACTCAAGAATAAATGGCAAAAGAACTAGTGCTGTTTATGCAAACTCTTAATTGGTGGCTTGTTATAATTCTTTCGATACAATTGATAAGCAAGTAAATAAACAGTAACTTATTTTCAAATTATCTGGGGATATGTGGTAATTCCATCATGGCAAAATGGCCCATGAGGATTTTTCTAACAAATGCTATAAACAGTGTCCTGGTAAATTTACTGATTAACTTCTGACATGTGAATTGAAACCATCCCTTAACATTATATTTTCTAAATAAATAAATACTTTCTGATCTGAAATATATTTATTTGATTGATTGATATCCTATCTTCTTGGGGTATACCTCAAGGGGGTGTACATAAGGCTTTCGCTCCACAACCTTATGAGATGGATTGGGCTAAGACCAGAGGTGGTATTCAGCAGGTTCTGACCAGTTCTGGAGAACCAGTAGCGGAAATTTTGAGTAGTTTGGAGAACCAGCAAATTCTACCTCTGACTGGCCCCGCCCCCCATCTATTCTCTGCCTCCCGAGTCCCAGCTGATTGGCTGGGTCTTCTTTGGTTGCCCTGCACAGGAGAACAGAGCTGGAAAGCAGGTTAGTGGGATGGGGAGGGAATGGGATTTCGCAGTAACTTTCCCTTGCCACACCCACCAAGCCATGCCCACTATACCACACCCACCAAGCCATGCCCACAGAACCGGTAGTAATTTTTTTTGAATCCTACCACTGGCTAAGACAGTGGCTTACCCAAAGTTTTCCAACCAGCTTTAATGCCAAAGGGAGAACTAAAACCCATATCTCCCTGTTCTTCTTCTAGCACCTTAATCACTATACAAAATGTTCTCTAATTACATTTTTTCTCCTATTATGTGATTATTTAGTATCTGAGGATCTACCTAAGTGTTTTCCTGTCCTTTGTGGCTCCATGTATTCCAGGGCTGATTCAGGCATTGCAAACAAAGGAGTTATGGAGCCATATTAAAACTATAATTAAGTCATTTTAGTTATGCCAAGCTGAACTTTCACTCTAAAGTCTAAGAAAAAATTTTTAGATGTGCAAAATTAATGAGCTAAGCTGTCCCCTGTCATTTAGTTCCTTAGTGACTGTAAGCAAGTTATTTTCTGCCCTTGTCTAATCAGGGCTGCAAAATGGGACTATACTTCTAGCGTAAAAATAATGCGGCACTATATAATAGAAATTTCAAATAAAATATTTTCAACAAGAATAGCAAAATAGTTAAGTGATGCACCAGCGAGGGAAATACCATTAGAATCTTGTGGATCTCTACAGATTTTTTTTTTAAAAAGGGGTAACATAAGCTTCTATGGACCGCAGTCTGTTTCAGCATTTATGCAAGAATAACCTTAGCATGAAACAATTAATCATCCTAATTTTACATTTCTATATCATACTTATTTATATCATCAATAACATTGATAACTTGGCTTGTTAATTGACAGGAATTATTTGGAAATAGAATGAAAAATGGCTTGTTTGTGCTTGCCATCAAACTATATTGTAACTCATTTGTCCACTTCTTAAAGGGGGAATTTTAGAGTGCTGAAAGATAGATGCTTATTAAAACTGGGGTTATTTTGTTACATATAAATCAACATCCCATAGTATGTATCCAATTTACACAAGTTTAAATGCATCATTGTGGGTATTTGTATTGTGTTTTAGCTAATATGAAACATGTATTAAAGAGATACCATATCATATAGTCTTGTTACTTGCTTTGGTAGTTTTCTTAACCAGAGTTCCCCAGCTTTGTGGAAAGGAGGGAGGAACGAGGGAATGGTTCCATATGATTGGCGGGCAAATGTGCGTATACACGCAGCTCCATTTATGTGAGCTAGAGGCGCATGTGCACACCATTTCACAGAAATGGAGCGTGTGCACACGTCTTGCCCACTGCTTGTGCAAGTGGGGATGTGCACATGAATGTAAGTTCCAGTGGCCTAGAGGTGGAGGTCTTGCCTCACAATCAGGAGGCTGTGAGTTCGATCCTAGGTAGAGGCTGATATTTGGAATAGACTCTCCTGCTCAAGCAGGGGATTGGACTAGATCAGTGGTCGCCAACCAGTGGGCCGGGGACCACTGGTGGTCCGTGAGAAAATTTTGGTGGTCTGCAGAGAAATGTCACCCCCACAAAGACTCATTTCTGGCAGAGTTTGGGGAAGAGAAAGAAAGACTTCTGCTGCTTCTACTGCTTTCCTTGCATGAAGCCAAAAGTCTCTCTCTCTCTCCCCCTGAGAACAAAGCTGGAGACGGTATCCTGTGATCTCAAATAAAGAGTGATCAATCAGTAGGAAAACAGGATGGGGAATTTTCCTGCAGTCTTTTTTTTGGGATTTTCCCAGGGTCTCTGCTTCTTTCTGCAGCGACCCTGGGAAAACATCAGCAAGCCACCATCAGTCAAAATTCATATTAGTAGTCCGCGGGATTTAAAATTATGAGTTTGTTGGTCCCTGACATCCAAAAGGTTGGCAACCCCTAGACTAGATGACCTCCAAGGTCCTTTCCAATTCTGTTATTCTATGAATGTGCTCGCCTGCCATTTCCATGGCCCGGTTCCCATCAGCTCAAGGCCTATTAGTGGGCTGCGTCCCGGGGATTGGGGGCTACTGCGTTTAACATTGTCTTTCCTTAACACTGATATTTTCAACCTGCCAATCTTCTGGATGACTTTTAAGATTGATTTTTTTTTTTTTTTGCTGGAAGCCTTGGACATATGTTAAAAAAGGAAAAGGGATCTGCACTATTCTTGGAGTGTTAGGTTTTTTTTTTATAATCCCCTTACATTGATCCTGATGAAAACTTCCCTGTGGCTGTTACAGGTTTTGGGAAAGGAGCTATAGTTGGGAAAATACTGATACATAATAAAATTTCCGAGGAAACCAAAATTCTCCAGAATGCAGTCTAAAAAGAAACCTGTAACAGGACAGAATGATAAGCCTGGGTATATTTTACTATTTTAAATGTAGCATTGTAGCTCTTTTGCCTTCTAATGCCAGTTGTTGCTTATTTCCATAGGTGGATCCAGAGAAATGTCGCTATGCTGTAGGTAGCGTCCTGAGTGAAGGAGAAGACAAGCCATCTGAGGCAGTGATCCGCATGTTTCTGAAGTATGGCTTCAAGATTATCAACTTCCCAGCTCCTAGTCATGTAGTCACGGCAACCTTCCCTTATACAACTCCACTATCCATCCATCTGGCAGTGAACCGTGTCCATTCAAGTCTTGATGTATACATCAAGGTGAGTGAAACTGTAAAACAGATTTTTGAGCCTGGAAGTTAAAATTCCATTTTTAAAAAATTTCCTGCGGAGGATATATATTATATGATGTATTTCCGGTTGCATTACATAAATTCAGATCTGCTATTCAATGAATGGCAAGCCATTAGTTGTGTTTTTGTTGTTGTGGACCACTAAATAAATATTAGAAAATGTGAGAGCTGTCCAATTTAACAAGTACTTGATTGAATGTTTTTATATACATTCTGTCATGCCCCTGGTGGAGACTGACTCTGAGGGAGAGGAGGAACAGCCAACAGGGAGTGGAAGTGTGGCTCCGGAGGTTTTGGGAAGGGCAGAGTCCGGCTGGGCAGTCAGAGGAGGACCAAGGCCCATCCCCTCTCCATCCTAGGGCATGCAAGGAGGAGAAGATAAGGGAGAGACATGGTCTACGGGGGAGGAGAGGGAATTGATCCTCTTCATGGGCTGCAGCTGTGACAACTGGATAAGAGGACGGACATGCGTACGGGCCAGTGCTGGAAACAAAGCGTGGAAATATCTCTAGTTTATTGTTCCCCTCTGAGTTTGGCGTCCTTCCCAGTGTGTGTTCTGATATCTGTGGACGTCTTCAAGCCCTTATCTTGCCTGGCTTGTGTTGTTTTTTACTCTTTATAATTTAAACGACATTTCCTCCTTCTTGTAACTACTTGTGTGTGAGTTTTTTGTCTCCAGTCAAGGAAATTTGGAGCTTGGAAGCAAAGTGAAGGAATAAAAGGGCCTTCACCTGTTTTTTGTGACCATGTTTATTTTGTATCCCACTCTGGGTCATCACACATTCTCTGCCACAATAAGAATCTGCTGGTCAAGAATATTCTTCAGTAGAATTACCTGAGGTTGGGAGAGGTAGATCTCTGACATAGGTAAATTCCCTTTTTTAGATACTCATCATTGTATTTCCTATTTGCATTTCTCATTTCAGGTTATTTGGACAAGGTCACAGCTCTACATAGCAGAGCACATGTGAATCCATAATTGTTAAATTGTCTTTCAAGTAGGGCACTTCAGACTAATATTTAACTCGTGGTTCTAACCAAGATGGTGAATAATATTGAATAGCAGTGATTTTGTGTAGAGTTCTGTAGTAGTCTGGACATGTTTGTTGTGTTCCTAATATTTTTGCTTTTATTTTTCTGTGTAATCCCAAGGTGAAAGGTATTTTGTTATAATTTCTCTAGCTATCTGAGAAAGGTCAGGGGTGAAATCTTGCTAAAGCTGTTTGAAAGTGAACATTTCTAGGACTCATAACATCTCTGTTCCTGTATATCTGCCGATACGTTTTAATAAGGGAGAGAATAATGAAGCTTTGTGAACGAGAAGAGATTCAGTGGGAACCAGCCCTGTTCTATTTGAACGGAATATCTCTCTCATATCTCTTATACATGCGGAACATTTCCATTCATATCACCTGTACAGCATGACTGATTCTTATTTCCTGTCAAACTAATTTCCCCACTGAACATTAATTGTGGAAAGCACATCACTAAATCTCAACTCTCACTAAAACACTTGGCTTTTTTTTTTTTAAAGTACTATGTGAGAATGCTGCGTTTCACCATAGCTAAGATTTGAGAGATCTAAACAATAGGGACGCTTTTGGAAAAGGGCCATTCAGTTAGATTGTTCACTATCTGTCTCAGATATGGGCTCATACTTGAATGGATACATCTTGGAAAAGGGACTAACGGTCTGAAAGCAAAAAATTGTTAAAGGCAAAGGCAACACAATTAATTTAAATTGTTGAATAAGCCTCGTCCTCTGGGTTTTTCTCTGCTCTCTTCTGTTGTTTGGAATGCCGATCACGAAGAAAAAAAAAACTTGGGAATAAATTGGGCAGACCATGAATGTAGACTTTTAAAAAAAATCTAAAGCTATTTTTATTTTATCATCCAATTTGGACAGCTGCCCATCTCACCAAATACGACTGTGGGCAGTGTACAACAATTGAGTAACAACACATGCAAAAACAGGAAATATAAAAAATATAAAATGAAGATTAAAAAATAAATAATTATAAAAACAAATATATCAGCCTTAAGCAAAGGGAGGAAAAGAATGAGCACCTAGCAATAGAACCATCTGAGCGTATATCTCTGGTTCCCTGAGAGCACCAGGCCTAATTACCTAACCAGGTTTTGGGGGACTTCTGGAATATCAGAAGGGATGGATCTGATCCAGGGGTGTCAAAATGGCGGTCCATGGGCAGGATGCCTCACACACAGGCCACGCCCATCCCAGCTCTGCAAAGGGGAAAAAATGTCACGAAACATCACGCGATGCCGCAAATTTGACACCCGCAATCTAATCTAAGGGGAAGAATGTTCCATAAGGCAAGCACCATGGCAGAGAAGGCGTGTGGTCTGAGATCCAGCAGATGTAAGACTGTAGCTGATTGTATCTGCTCATGCCAGATCTAGTAGGGCAGGCTGATGTAATCGAGGAGAGGCAGTCCCATGTGATAAAGGGCTTTAAAGCTTAAATTTAGGACTTGGACCCAGGACCAAGCTGGCAACCAATGCACCTTAGGGATCAGAGGTATAACATGCACTGTTCTAGAAGTGCACATCATTGCATTCTTTGCCAGCTGAAGCTTCTGTATAGTCTTCAAGGCAGCCCCATATAGGAGTGCATTGCAGTAGTCCAATCTGGAGGTGACCAGAGCATGAGTGACTGTATTGTTATTAATTATGAACCTTTTAAAAATATATAACCATTTAAAAAGACAAAAAAAAAATAACAAAAACTAATATTTAGAATAAACAAAGCTAAGAAGAAAGCAAATATGCAGAAAGGGAAAAAATATAAAATAGCTTTTAATTTTTTTTTTTTTACAGAAGCTGTAAGTATAAATATAAACCAAGGTTTTTCAAATTTGGCAAGTTTAAGACTTGTGGACTTCAACTCCCAGAATTCCTGAGCTAATGTGACTGGAGGAAGAATTCTGGGAGTTGAAGTCCACAAGTCTTAAAGCTGTCAAGTTTGAAGACCCCTGATATAAATTAACTCTACGGTTACAGCATGACTTTTATTTTTTCTATACTCTTTTTTTCTAATCAAAATTACATATCATGTTCACTTTTTTCTGTTTGATGCAAAAAAGTCTATCAGGTGATTCCAGATAGCATTAACTGCAGTTATCATATATAAAAACAAAATTCCATTACTTTTTCCCAATTGTTTATTGATCAATCTGAATAGAAAAGCCTCTAGTTTCAATATTAATCGTTAAAAGTCTCGGAATTAGTGCATAAAGTTGAGTCCAAAATTTGGCTTTTTTGCACATCTGCTATGTATGGTAAAATATCCCTCTTGGTCACATTTCCAACATAAATTTACTTTTATACATTCTAGACAACTTATCTGGAGATATATACCACTAATACATCATTTTATAAAATAATTCTCTTTAAGATGAGAACATAATGTAAATTTTGGCCCTGTCAACCACATATTCTTTGATTATTTCATTTGCATTTTGTAATGAAAAAAAATTAGCCTAATTATCATTCTTTTACCTGTTCTTCTGTTTCAAATTTCTATGGAAATTTTAGCTTCAAACTCAGACTTACAATGCTCAAAACCAAACTATCTTCTTTAAATCTTTCTAATAATTGTACATAAGAGAACCATTGATAAGTGTATATTTCTGCCAGCATATATTCTCTTGATTTTATTTTACATTCCTTGTGGCAAAAATCTAATATGTCTCAATGTTAGTCATTTGTGTTTACTTACCATTTCTCTTCTATAATAGACTTCTTGAATTGAGAGCCACAATGGTATTTTCAGGCACAACATGGGTTTATATCTATTCCATATTCTCTTTATGGCACGTCTAACAAAAATATTTTTAATATCTAAGTAACCTTAGCTTTTTCATACCATAAATATCCACGTTCCTCAAATCTCATGTCCTTTTAGCTCCAAAAACCTTCTGTTTCTCAGCAACGTATATTTTTTCATCCGAACAACAAACTGCAAAATATAAATATGGTAAACCCAATCTTTTTTCTTTTATATCTTACATCAACATTTAACTTTGGTTTCCCCCTGTTGTTATTTTTCTGCTATTGTTTAATTAGTACATCTGTTTTCAAAGCAGATATTTTCTTTCTGGAAAATCTCAGTGGAAATATTACACCTTCTCCTTAATCTTAAAACCCATTTTGTTCAGCAATTCTGTTTAATCTTGTGTCATCATATTTTTGTTAACATCTTTACTTCTGTTTATTAATCCTGAAACCTGCTGATGCACCAAATTCTTTTAGTTTTCCCATTAATGTTTCAATTCTGTTTAAAGAATCTTCCAAAATCAGCACCTAATCATCTGCAAATCTTAATTTAACAAATCTTAAATCTTGCCTCTATTTAAATCCTCTTATTTTGTATGTCTCCATTCAAGATTTCCAAAACCAAAATGAACAGAGTGGAGAGCCCTGAATTGTTCCCTTTTGTATCTCACATGGTTTTATTAGAGCTCCATTAACAATAATTTGGACTTTTTGTGAAGGATACATTCTCTCCAAATTTCATATAGTCTGAAACTTTAAACAGAAAAGTGCAATTCAAATTGTCGACAGCTTTCTCTGCATTTAAAAAAAATAATTCAGCCTGTTTCCATTATGCTGGTCCAATATTCTGGACTATTCCGTACAGTTCTGATATTACACATTGATCTTCATGAATACATTCTTGAAAAATTATTTTCAAACTATCAGCTAGGATCATTGTGAACAAATTATAATCATTATTCAATAATGATATTGATCTGTAATTTCTGGTCAAAGTCAAATCTTGTCCTTCTTTAGGTGTTTATGCTACGTGAATTAGCCTTTTTCCAAGTCTGAAATCTTTCCTTCATATAAACTAGAATTTGTCACATTTTGTAGAGCTTCAAATCATTTATAGTAAGAACCTGATAATCCTTCTGGTCCGGGTCCAGGTAGTCCTCAACTTACAACATT